ACAGGCACTTGAATAGAACCATCAACGTACCGTAAGCTAGATGGATAGCTTCCTCACATGAAAGAATCCAAAGTCCCTGTCAAGATTCGAACCCACAGCGGGGAAGGGCAAGTGGTTTGAAGTCAACAACCATAACCAAGCGGCCACGGACGCCCCACCTATGCACTTGTTACCCTTGTTCTGTACTGGTGGAAAACCCTAATCAGTTGTGTTTCCAACAGTGTAACTACTTGTTATAATTATTTTCTTTGAATAAACAAAAGCTAACAAGTTCCGTATAAAAACTTTTAATGATTTCCATTTTAAACATTTAAAAATATACAACACAAAATATACAAGAAACATGGCAATGCCATGAAACCAGGTTTTCAATTATCACCATTGTAGATTAATATGTTGTATTTGAAATACAAATACAACAACAAACAATGTAACTATGTGCAATGTAACATGAATAATGTAGGAGGAATTGCGCACAGAAAAAGTGTTCACTATATATTCTGTATAAGAAAAAAAACAACAAAGGGCCATAATTAGATAAAAAATTTCCAATCACAAAACCCCGACAATATGCGCCAGGGCACTGGATGACAAAGCTTCTGTAAAAGTTTAAACAAAATCCATTGAGAAATGTAGGAGATCAGGCACAGAAGAATTTTTTCACTAATATATTCTGTCTATAAGGAAAAAAAAAACAAAGGGCCATAATTAGGGTCAAATATTATTCCAATCAAAAACTCGATAATGTGCGCCAGGGCACTTGAATAACAAAGCTTTCTGTGAAAAGTTTGGTTCAAAATCCCAGTTGAGAAATGTAGGAGAAGTTGCGCATCGGTAAAGAATTGTTCACTATATATTCTATATAAAGAAAGAAAAAACAAAGGGCCATAATTAGGTCAAATATTTCCAATCACAAAACCCCCAATAATGTGCGCTAGGGCACTTGATAAAAAGCTTTCTGTGAAAGTTTGGTCAAAAATCCCGTTGAGAAAATGTAGGGGAAATTTCGCCATGGTAAAAAATTGTTCACATATATATATTGTAGTAAGGAGGAAAAAAAAACAAAGGGCATAATTTAGGGTCAAATAGTTATACAATACGAAACCCTGACAATATGCCCCAAGGCACTTGATGACAAGCCTCTTTGAAAGTTTGGTACAAATTCCGTTGGCAGAAATGTAGGAGGAGTTGCACACAGAAGAAAATTGTTCACGTGTATATTCTATATAAGGAAAAAAAAACAAAGGGCCATAAATTAGGTCAAATTTATTATCCAATCCACAAAACCGACAATATGCCCGCAGGGCACTTTGATAACAAAGCTTCTGTGAAAGTTTTTTGTCAAAATCCGTTGGGGAGAAATGTAGGAGGAGTTCGCAAGAAGAAATTGATTCCCATCCGCCCGCACCGCCGACATACCTCAATCTAATAAAGTTTTTTCCCTTGGAAAACCTGGTTAAAAATATTAAGTATGCTAGACAGTTAAGTTATTCTTTTTAGTAAACAAATACCATTTACATACCAATAAGTATACTTAACAAAATAGTACCTCTTCTTAAACTAGCTTGATTTAGTTGTATTTGTTCATTTAAAACAATGTCTTTACTGGAGAAAATTCTACATACAAACACTCTACCTCAAATAAGTAGATGCTTTTTTTCTGCTAAGAGTACAATCACTGGCAATAATTGCCACTTCAAAATTTTTAAAAACTGCAGTTTGGAGAGCCTTAAATAGTTTTCCATTTAAAATAAATCGTTTCAAAAAATTTGGGGTAAAACCCAAAGGAAATTTAAAAGGTATAAAATGAAACGTTTTGATTAAATTAAATCCCCAATAATAAACCCCTCCATACTGTTTAATCTATAGTCCGCTCTTTTTAAATAAAAATGGGGGAAAAGGCAAACCCAATTTTTTTTCCCAATCTTCTGTGTTTGGGAAACAAACTTCTCTGCGCACTTTAGAAAGTTAGGATGCTGTTTTTTCATTTTTCCTTTAAATTATTTAAAACCATTTTCCATTTTTTCCTTTTATATAAACTAAAATGTAGGATTAATTTATGAGAAATGTTTAAACTGAATATTTATACGTATTTTTTAAAAAATAAAAAAAGACAAAAACAAGAAGTTACAAAAAAAAATAAATAAAAAATGTATGTAATTAGCAGTTTATAAGAATGGGGGGTTTCTTCAATCAATTTTTGGGAAATATAAAAAATAAAAGGATTTCAAGGACGGTTTTTTCATGAAGGGCTAGGCAATCAATAAAGGAAAAGTGCCCCTAATGACGCGTGCTTAATGCTTGATTTAAAAAAATTTTCAAATAAAACATAAAAAATTTTAATATATTGCTTGTATGTGTTATTTACAATTTTTTCTTTTGTATACTAAATGCAAAATTATAAAGTGTTTTTTTAAATTATTTAGATTTATGATGTTTGCAACTGTTAGAAATGCACAAACCATGTTAAATTTTTTGTGATCCTGAACTAAAGTTTTCAATTCTAGCAGTAATCAAATTTTTATCTATATAATTATCCAGTTTGACACTGGTCTTCAAAGTAAAGATGAAGGATGTTTTTAATGTAAAACAAATACTACTGTTACCAAGGTTTTTAACAACATTAAGGACAAATAATATAGGTAATTAATAGAAGAATATCAATGTGTGTGGGTTCAAAACTTAATTTAATTGAACAAGGTGAATAAAACAATATTAAGATGCTCGCCAGAGCAAGTTTAATAAAGTTCAGCGAGCATAATATTGTTTTATTCAACAAGATCAATAACTTTAATATTGAATCTACACAAAAATAATATTCTATTTATCACATACCCAAAATCAGAACTGTTTACAGTGAAAAGAATCACTTTTACATTGACATGTTTGCATATACTGTAACACCAACATTTAGCATGTTTTTTATGCTATTGTTTGTATAACACAAATGATGGTCCGTCAAAATATATGCACAGCTGTGCAATACCGTTATAACAGAGAGTCACAAGCGGCATAGGTGTGTGATTAAAACAAAGTATAATGCACCAATCAATTACAAAAATACATTACTATATCATTAAAAATTTACATCATTTCCATTGTAAACATTTGGCAGGAATATAAACAAATTTAACAACAAATGTATTCAAATCATGGTTACGATTGTAACCTAGTGAGCCATCAAATAAATCACAAAATATGAGTATTCTCTTAACAAGAGCTGTCACAGGAGACAGCGAAGCTCGACTAATAAAATACTGGACACAGTAAGGAGGACAAAACTATGAAAGAAAAATCAATTATGTATAATTATGTATTAAGTTATAGTAAAAAAAATAACATTTTGTTAACATAAATTCCAAGATCAAGGGAAATAATTCTAGAAATAGTCATGCTAGAGTTATTGAACCTTGCCGACACAACATTTGTGTAATGATAAGAAATATATATTTGAAGTTTGAAGTAGATACCTTAAAAAATAAAGAAGTTATTGTATTTCTTAAAGAAAATCCTAAGTTCAAAGAGAGATAAATCTGTAAATATTGCTTCAAGAGTTATGAACATTGTCACATAAAATGTAATTGATGATTATTTAGGAATAAGTATTTGAAGTTTGAGGTCGATACCTTTAAAAATAAAAAAGTTAAAATAAAAATAACATTTTTCTAGTAAATTTATCTAAGTTTATGGGAGATAATTCTTGCAATATTGATGCTAGAGTTATGAACCTTGTCACATAAGATGTGGATGATGATAATGTAAATATATTTGAAGTATGAAGTTGATCCCTTTAGAAATAAATAAGTTAGAGTAAAAAATAATATTTTGTATGGAAAATTCTAAGTTCAAAGGAGATAAATCTGAAAATATTGGTGCTAGTTATGAACCTTGTCACATAAGATGGGATGATGATAACGTAAATATATTTTGAAGTATGAGGTTGATCCCTTAAGAAATAAAGAAGAAATAGTATTTTTTTAGGAAAATTCTAAGTTCAAGGGGAGATAAATCTGAAAATATTGGTGCTAGAGTTATGAACCTTGTCACATAAGATGGGGTTGATGATAAGGTACATATATTTGAAGTATGAGGTTGATCCTTTAAGAAATAAAGAAGTATCAGTAAAAAAATAGTATTTTTTTAAGGAAAATTCTAAGTTCAAGGGGAGATAATCTGAAAATATTGGTGCTAGAGTTTTATGAACCTTGTCACATAAGATGTGGTTGATGATAAGGAACATATATTTGAAGTTTGAAGTTGATACCTTAAGAAATGACAAAGTTATAGTGAAAAATATTTTACTGCACCAAAACTTTAATCTAAAATCTGGACGCGGACGCCGACGCGAGTAGGACAGCTCTCCATATACTTCGTATAGTCGAGCTAAAAATAAAAACGGGCAAGAACAAAATGTGTTTATTATTTAACACAAATGTCCGCTTCCCAAATATGTAACAAAATTATCGTGAAATTTATTTGACTTTGAAGGTCATAGCCATCTCTGGGTCAAGGTCGTATTTCAAGACATGTGTTTTATGCAAGTTTGGATAAAGGTTTTTGCTAAGGTTTATATGTTATATGTTATGGCAAAGGTTAAAGATATCAATAATATTATTAATCATTTCATAATACAAAATTTCCATTAATTTCCGTTTGATTGTTATGCAAGAGACCATAGAAATAAATCAAGCTAAACATGTACAAACTATCTAAAAATGAGTTTGTCTGAGGCTGAAATTTTGATTTAGTTTAAACTACATGTATATGAAAAGAGTTACACTTGATGTCTAAAACTATTCTAACCAAAGGAAAATTAACAAACGTGTTATTATCAATAATTTATCTTCATATAAAAACTTAAAAAAGAACTGTACATGAACCATCTTAAAATTCTACAACTTTAAAGGAAACCCGACCGAGGTAAAAAGCATAAAACATAAAATTGAACATTCTTACCATAAATCAAATATATATGACTTAAAACTAATGGAAAATTCTGCAAAGGATGATAAATAAATATGCTCAGAATTAAACATTGAAAATTAATTTTTGTGCGATTCTTGGCTTGATTTGAGTGAAAACTATAGCAGTTTATAAGCTTTTCATTTGTTTTTTGCATAGTATTTTATTATTTTTGATGATTCTGAAAAAGTAACTGGGAGAGGGAATGATCTGAAATTTTTTATGTAAGTCATTGATCAAATGGTACAAAAATATTGGAAAAATATTTCCAGTCCCATCAAGTCAAAAAAACCTCAGTGGAGTCCCTTCTAGCTCTAGCAAAACCACAGCACACAGAAATCTTATATCTCAACAATGTCTCGCTGATTGTTAACTTTGATTATCACAAGTAAACATGCTGGACGGATATTGCACATCACCTTCCCTTTGCATACTGGGGAATATTCTATATTTAGAAACTGATGCAATGCTCAACCAAGTTCAAGGTCATCTATGTTTAAATGACAGATTTCAGCACTATCTTCACCAATGGACCTTCGCAATGCAAATTGTGGGCTGAAAAAAAGTTTAAAAAAAGAGAAACAATTAAAAGCCTTTTAAGCCTAGTCCTTATAATTAAAGCATAAAAAATAAATAACTTTTCACAAAATCAGTCATGTCAATAATTATTCAAAAGTGTCTAAATTATATGAAAACCTTTCTACACAGTAGATGGAAACATGTATCATAACCTTTATCAACTTCAGAAGTAATGTAAGGCTGAAAATTACAACAAATAAATAAGCCGCGTCACGACAAAACCAACATAGTGTGTTTGCAACCAGTCTGATCAGGATCCATGCTGTTCGCTAACAGTTTTTCTACTTGTTATAGGGTTTGTAAGCAAACAGCATGGATCCTGATCAGACTGTGCGGATGCGCAGGCTGGTCTGGACCCATGCTGGTCGCAAACCCATTATGTTGGTTTTGTCGTGACGTGGCTCAAATGATTTACAACTTTAGAGGTCCTTGACCAAAATTATTTCAAATGAAAACTAAGTGAATTAAAATTTCACTTATAAGCTGTAAGAATATAAAACCAAAATAACTGTAAAAAAAATCTAAACCATTTTAACTTGGAAATCATCAAGACAAGTTTATTGACCTATCCATATTGTTTATAACAGTCTAAAATAATGTACTGGCAAGATAATAAATGCATTCTTAACATATTCCCTTGTTCCAAACTTCTCACAGTGATTACTTCCCTTGGCAGATTGTACTTTGTACTGATAAGGAGAGATCACTGTATAGGAGATTGGCCCTTGTGCGTGTCTATCATTCTAAAAGTCTTATTCCCCTATATTCACTCTACATATCAAAATTTTGATCAAAGACTTTGTATTTCCTTGCAAATGAAGAAAGTTTTCAAAATTGTGTCTCATCTTAAATTGAGCAAATAAGTTTTGCCTTCCATAAAAGTTTATAAAAAATTCCATAAATGTCCATTCAAGAATATTGAAAGAAAATTTCCTATTCGTCTAACATTCATCTAAAAGTAAAGTTTGTCCTCTACACCATTAAGCAAATATAAACATAGTTAAAGCCTTTGTTTATAATTTAAAGGCACATTACGCCTAAGAAACAAATAAATTTGTCCTTTTTTACAAGGGCAAACATGAATTTAAATGGTTTTAAAATAAGTTCCATGCTTATAACCTAAAGAAAGTCACCCTGCTGTGAAATTATTTGTCATAAAAGTATCAAAGTGTAAACAAAGTAGTATTTTGACTTCCATACAAAATACTAAATCACTAAATCTAAACTTATTCCAAGAAAGTAACAGATGCAAAATATGTTTCAGGTGATTGGCCGTTTGGACCCTCCCCGCTTTTTTAGGAATAAAAATAAAACCATTTCTAGGGCATAATGGGCCTTTAAGTGTTCAGCATATCAGCATACCTTAGTAGGAAGCACATTTTAGCATGAACTTTGAAACAATTACCTTAATGTAAAATTTACCACACCTTTTCCAAAATTCGTATTTCACACAATATCTAAGTCACACAGAACCTAAGTCATAGAAAAACTGTGTATACTAAATTCTACTTCATAGTATTGAATCCCCTTACAAAACAACTATAGACCAAGAGAAAGTTAAAAGTGAAGTTTCCAACTGCAGACCATTATGCCAATTACTTACTATAAATCTTATCTCCTTAATAATCCTTAGTCTACATGCAGCAACTAAATCAACCAATGCAAACAGTGCAGACAAAAAACAGCTGACCAATCCTTTCTGTCCTGTCATGGTCTGCCCTTCTCCTTAGTCAGTGCACATTTTTAAGAACATTCCCTTAATAATATGAATGGTTTTGTCTAAATTGAAAGATGGGAAAGTCATTTAAGATTACTTCGCAGGTTAAGAATAAATGGACAAAACCAAGTGAAAAAACAAACAAAAAAGTGCAATTATTTTATATTTTGTGTAGGACCCAGTCTCAGAATATTCAATAATGTGATGAAATACCCACCTAAAATTTATGAGTTCTGTAATTCAAATTATATAATTATTAAAAGAAAACAGACAAGTTAATTTTATAAGGATTTCTAAACAACATACTTACAACATGCTACTGACACATAATTATGTTATGCCTTCAACCACTTGAAAAGATATGACAATATTATATATTTAGGATAAATGAGAGAAATATAAAATCAAAACCAATATTATTATTATTATTTAAACCCCATCAGGCCTAAATGATTTATATTTGGTTGTTCTGAAATAAAGTACGGAATCTTATTTACATGTATATGAATTAATGGTCAATCATTAAGCAATACATGTATCATCATAGCTGGGTATAATCCAAGGCGTCTTTTTACAATTGATAAATTCCTTTTATCTGAATGCAATTGTGACATATTCAGTACACATCCTCCATACAAATACTGATCTTAAATCTTTATATGCCAGAACTGGTATCGACTTGTGTGTACAAACAGTATAAAGCTGGCCAATAAGAACATACATGAAGACTGGCAATACTCGTACTGCCGGCTACTAAGTCTTGGATGTTTTACATAAAAATCGCATATATTAACAATTTTTTGAGTACGGATACACATAGTCATGAGGGCTGTACTATTTTAGAAAATTAAAATGTTTCATTATCAATCAAACTACTACACATATAAAGCACTTGTATAAGATCATACCTAAGATCCTCTTCTGTTAGTGTACCATCACTGACTAGACGCTCCACTTCCTTCAACCCTCTACCTCCCAATGCCTCCTTACATTGTCTACAAAACACAAAAATGGCCATCAATAGCTACCACAGTACTTCTTGTCTTGCATATGCTTAACATTATCAGTTTGCAAGGCTCAAATTCAACACTCCCAAATTTCCAACGAAAATTACTTGTAGATTTCTTGTAAAATCGAAAAATTTTGCAAGTGCTGAGATGGGATAAGGTTTGATATAATTATTTGGTTTAGGTTTTTGTTGTTGACTTTCTGTGTTACAAGCTTGAAGTAATTGTGGTTTTCCTTTGATTAAACATTTAAGCATAATAATAAACATCAATAAACACTTTTAATACATATCTAGAATACTACAGTACTTAGTATAATGACTGTTCTTTACCAACAGTGAAAAACCCACCAAGCTGGCATGACTGTTTAGCTGAACAACCAACTTGTGATTGCTATTTTTTTCTTTCTTTTTAAACTGACATTCCTTTATCTCATAAATGACAGTTTCAAATTTCAAATGGGACAAGTTCATGATGCAAATACAGTAGGGTAAGACATACTGTCTGAGCATGGCAGTTTGTTGTCTGTGTAGGTCGGAAATACTGTCTGCAAACCAGTCGTCTACCGCCTCAATATCCTGGGCCTCCTTTGCTAGATGTACCATGGCATCTAGATCCTGAACACATATAAAAACAAATACAAACTGTGTAAGATTATACTATAGTTAAACAAAATGAAAGGTGAAAATCATTCATTTTTACTAAAACCAATAAACCATAAAAAAATACAGGTCGGTAACTAAAAAAGTAACCAGTCACATTACTCATTTCAAGTATAAATGATATACAGTTATTCATTGATATACACTTCAGACTGTGTACGGACATAATCCCCTTCGGACAAAATCTCCTTCATGTATTTTTGTATATCTGGACATAATCCCCTCCATGGGTGGACATAATCCCCTTCATAGTGGACAGAATCCCCTTCATAAAATTGCTACCTAGGACAAAAGTATATAAAAATTATCAATTAGAATTATGAAATTATACAATCAATGAAACAATTATTGGCAAATGTTGAGTTATTTCATTTTTTTATTAAAAATACAAATTTAATATGATTACACTACAAATATGATAACATGTAGTTTCAAACAATTTTAACTGTAATTTTTGAAATTATAAGAATTGTTTTAAATAAATAATAATTTTAATGACAACTTCTAAACTAAATAAAGGTTAACTTGATACATTATTATAAATAAAACAAGAGCTGTCTGTAGGACAGCATGCTCGACTATTCTAAGTGCTTGATAGTAAAAGAGCCTTGATATTGTTAAATTTTTTAAGTTCACAAAAGGGCTAATTTTTTTTTATAAATTCATGTTATAGGCCTTACAGAGAGTCTAATTATACAGAATTGGCTTGACTATTCGGAAGGTAATGTCACAAGGTTTTTTTTATTGAGTATAATAATACTAATTACCTATGAATACATAAATTTGACAGAAAAGGTACAAAGGCTTGTCATTAAGATGTTTTATCAAGTAAATTACTGCTTTATTATTATGAATGCATAAAATTGTCCCAAAAAAGGCACAAACCCTTCAGTAGTTATTGAGATAACAGCTTACAAGCAAAACTTTACCATGAATTTCTAAGTTGAAAAAGGGGAGAAAAATCAGCCTTAATGCAAGATTGAATTATGGATCTTTGTCAGTGACCTACAATTATGACCCTAAATGCATATGTGAAGTTTTAGATAAATATCTTTAATAGTTATTGAGATATGTAAAACTTGCATGTAAACATTAACCAAGAGACTAAGTAGAAAAGGGGATATGAATCAGTCTTAATGCAAGATAGAGTTATGGAACTTGGTCAGTGACTTACAATTATGACCCTCCAATTATGACCCTAAGTCGAGTGTAAAGTTTCAAGTAAATATCTTTGAAGACCGTTAACCTTTAACCAAAATTTCTAAGTTTCAAAGGGGCAAATAATTCTGCAAATATTGCAGACAGAGTTATGCAATTTTGCAAACTGATGTACATTGTTACTATAAATAAGTATTTTAAATTTCAATTGAATATCTCAAGCAATAATTGAGATATTTGACTTTACAAAAAAACTTTAACCAAAATTTCTAAGTTCCAAAGGGGGCATAATTCTGTCAATATGGTAGGCAGAGTTATCCAACTTGTCAATCTGATGTACATTGTTACTATAAATAAGTATTGTAAGTTTCAATTGAATATCTCAAGCAATAAATTGAGATATTTGACTTTACAAAAAACTTTAACCAAAATTTCTAAGTTTAAAAAGGGGCATTATTCTGTCAATATTGTAGGCAGAGTTATCCAACTTGTCAATCTGATGAACATTGTTACTATAAATAAGTATTGTAAGTTTCAATTGAATATTTCAAGCAATAATTGAGATATTTGACATTACAAAAAACTTTAACCAAAATTTCTAAGTTAAAAAGGGGCATAATTCTGTCAATATTGTAGGCAGAGTTATCCAACTTGTCAATCTGATGTACCTTGTTACTATAAATAAGTATTGTAAGTTTCAATTGAATATCTCAAGTAATAATTGAGATATTTGACTTTACAAAAAACTTTAACCAACGCAGACGCCGACGCGGACGCTGACGCCGACGCCGGGGCGACTACAATAGCTCTCATATTCTTCGAATAGTCGAGCTAAAAAACAAAAGTTCATTATTCATCAATTTTTATGGAGCATAATAATACATTAGAAACCTATGAAACAAGGGGAGTGAAGGGGATTTTGTCCAGCCTTGCAAAAACATGAAGGGGAATATGTCCACCCATGAAGGGGACTTTGTCCGGGTATGAGAAGGGGATTTTGTCCAAAGGGGTTTATGTCTGACATTCCCCTCAGACAGTTGTGGATGACATTAAAGATACATTTTTGTCAACTATTCTGTTACTGAGAATCATAATGCTACCACCCAGAATACCAACTTGTTAACCTGAGATTTCTATGCCTTTCTCAGATTCCCATAATTCTAGCTAAAATACAATGAGGAGGAGATATATTTATAAAGCATACCTCACTGGAGTCATATTCTTCAAAATCATCAGCATACTCTGCCTCATCATTATTTTCTGTGATATCTTCTATTTCATCTTCAGAGTCATCACTCTCTACACATTCTATCTCTTCTTTTATGTCTTAAAATATAACATAAAGTCAATTTAATCAATCTTGGCATGTATTTCACAATAAAATGAAAATCTGGAAAAGAGGTGATCCCTCAGAAGCAGTTAAACCATAATATTATAAGAAAATTGCTCGATTTGGTTGAGTCTGTGCATGAGAGAAAGTGTAAAATAGTTTAACATCTCTCAGGCCCCCTAGCTCAGACTTAAGCAGTACTAAATCTTAACACTTATGTGCTGGAATCAACTGCAAACTTCGCAAGCCAATCCGAAACCAATTATGTTTTTAAGTGTGATCCAGAATGATGTTGCTATTGTTTGTTTGATTGGGTTTTACCTCACATCAACACAGTATAGGTCATATCGCGAGGTTCCAGCTTTACTGGTGGAGGAAGACCTCAGGTGCCCCTCCGTGCATTATTTTAGGCACGACCGGGCACCTGAGTAGAACCACCAATGTTCCGTAAGCTAGCTGGATGTTGCTATTGGTATGGCAAATGTTACATTACAGTTGAATTACACTTGCCCACCACTTCAGTGTGTGAGATCCTTCCATAGTAAAATCCAATCAAGTTCAATATTAGTTCTAAATCAAGGTATTCTTTTAATAACACTATTTAACTGACCTGACACTTGTTTGAGAAAATCTTCCACAAAAGCAATAAAGTACTTTGACCAAGTAGGTAAACAAACATATTTTACACAAATATTAATATCAAGGAATAAAAAGCAACCTTCTTCAATATCAGAATCTGCTTCATCAGCATCATCAAAGTCATCTGAATAATCTGAGGCAGCATCTGCATCTGGTTTAGGAATGTCTAATCTGTTCTCTTTAATTATATCTGTAAATGTAACATTACCTCTTCAAATAAATATATAACTAACATCACTCTCTAATAAGGCTCCCACGTTTACAATATTTTGTAAACGTTTACATGATTGTTAAGAACCGAAACGATACCGTTTTAACAGTCACCGTGGTACTTCTATGCACAATACTACACCATGTATTCGAATCCCAAGATGATGACTTACTTTCTATTTTTAATAAATGTACAAATAAACAAATAAATAATGTTCAGGGCTCATCACGATTGTGTCGGCACACATTTTCTGCATTGTATCCCCATTTCTCTCTTTTGAAAGATCAAAGGAAAATCAACTTTACAAAAAATATATTATGTCACGAGCGATTATTGCACGGCAATGCTGTTGGAAGGTTGTAAACACCCATTTTCCGTTTTTGACTTTGGAATAAACCAATTAGAATTGATAAAACCCATGATAACAGGCAATGATTAAGATATTTTGTATGACAATATGGTCATTTCGATTAAACGGTAAAAAATATCGTAAACGTTTACGAATGAAAATCGAAATGAATCCAAAACGAATCCGTTTAAACATGTGTAACCGTGGGGGCCTTACTCTCTAATTATATCTGTAATTGTGACATTACCTATTAAAATAAGTACATAACTAACATCACTTTAATACTGTATGATCATTGTTTTTCTTAATTTCGTTTTTTTAATGCTGATTTTCCCACATTTTGTGGGCATATATCCGTGGTCCGTCTAATTAACCTACTTTCCTGGCTAACTAACCAGTACTTACCAATTTTACCCCAAATGAACAAGTACAATCAAACATGATTTCTTAATCATTTGGTGAGAGACAAAGCACCATTAGAGTCAATGTCTGAGGTAAAATTTCCCCTCATCAGAGGTTTGATGCAGGAAAACCACCACATCCCCTATTCAATAATTCATATTGGAAAAGAAACATATTTATAAAGGAAATCAAAGAAAGTAACAGTTACTAGATAAAATGCTGTTTTAGTACTCTATTGCAATGCCAATCTAATTTAATTCTTCAATTTGATCAAGTTTTCTTTATAAAAATAAATGGTATTCATAATTTGGTAGAAAAACAGACATTTACCGCAAGTAAAGAATCTGGCCAACCATCAATGATATATCTGAGTCTTGAGAGACTGTAATGCTAGCTAAACAATTTTATCATTTTAATTCCTTTAACTATAATATGCCCATTACACTAATCCAGTGGTCACCATACCTGTTTCAGCACTGACACCTAATCCACTATCTTGACCATGAGGTGACCTCTCCCTGCTAGTCAACTCTGCATTTTGTAAATAATCTGACTTCTGTAACATCGGTGTTGATATCTTTAATTTATTTCTCTTTAAACTTGGACTTGGTTTTTCCATGTTGCTAAAAAGAGAGAAAATTTCACTTTCTTGACAGAAACACTTATAGTGATAAACTATTGCTTTGATCCTAAACCTGTTTAATTCTGTGTAATGGATTTGCCCTATATTGAGTTTAGAAGACTTCATTCAAAGTTTAAGGTATTTTAATATCAGAATACAATAAAAAAAATCCTAATGAATTTGAGCCCATTAATTTTAAAGATAGAGGCCTATAAAAGGTAAATATATACAAATAATTTTGTTTGTTTGTTTCATTTTACGCCTTTTCCAAACAGTATTTCAGTCATATAGGCCGGTAATTTCCCAAATATCGTTCCTGGAGAGTTACACCAGTACTAGACTACCTTCCTCCACGCTAAACTACCAAAGCATCTCCCGGGGATCTAACCCACGCCAGAAAAGTAACTGGGTTAGAAGTCATCGACTCTAACCCCTCGACCACGGAGGCGGTATACATACAAATAAAAATCTAAGATATTTGTAAATTAATATAGGTATGATAAGAATTATATAATGTATGAATGTTCAACCTTTTCTGTTGTTTCAGTTTAGGTACAGTTGTAGGTGTGTGTTGTGGGGTAGATAGGGAGTCATCTTTGGAAGATTTTTGTTGCAGTAGATTCTCTTTCTGTTCTATAAACATAGCTAAATGTTTTTTCACTAACTGTGTATTCAGCAAAGCACTGGCACTGAAAGAAAAGGTGATGTACTATATTAAATGTATTCTTGTATGTTAAGATAATAGTCACACAAATATTTGTATGGTTATATGGTTATTAAGCATCATTATTTCTTTTTAATTGTAAGTCAGATGAAAATTGTTGTTGGGTTTTACGTCATGACAACACAGAATAGGTAATATGGTGACTTTCCAGCTTTACTGATGGAGTAGGACCTCAGGTTACCTTCCTTGCATTTTTTCACCAACAGGTATCTGAGTAGAACCACCGACATTCCGTAAGCTAGATGGATACCTTCCTCACATGAAGGAATCCTAAATCCCTGTGGAAATTCCAACCTACAGCGGTGAGGGACAAGTGGTTTGAAGTCAAAGACTTTAACCACTTGGCCACAGATGCTCCCCAAATGAACATGGTAAAAGACCAATGTAATTGTGATTTTCCAAACTTAACAAATGAAGGAAGGCATTATCTGCCCTTAAATGCACAAATTCAGGCAAAAATGAGTATGTGCGTAGAACCACAAACCTTCACTAAACTTAGCTGGTTAGCTTTTTTCAAATGAAATATTCGAAGTCCATGTCGAGATTTGAACCCACAACAATGAGGGGCAAGTGATTCAGAAAATAGTCACCTGGACCACTTGGCAACAGAGGCCCCAAAAAAGTTACTTCTTCAGCATATATCAAGGAGAAACCAGCAATACAGCTTGATAAATGAATTTGCACAGCATTTCTCCTTTTAAACTTATTTACACAATACTATATTCAAAGCACAATTGAGTAAGTTATGTCAGGTTTTCTTGTGAAGCATATCAATATAATATGTTCTACAGCATCATATCTATTTGATGAGGAAATATAACAAGGCATATCTGGATAGCACTTAAAATGTTTGATTGGGTTTTATGCCACACGGACACAGTATAGGTCATACTGAGACGTTCCAGCTATACTGGTGAAGGAACACCTCGGATGCCCTTCCGTGCATTATTTCAGGCACGAACAGGCACACTTAAAATGTAAAATATGATAATATGACATATTTACCTAGGTCTGTCATCAGGAGATTTTACAAGGATCATGTTAACTATCTCCTGTAATTCTTTACTATATATACTCGGTATTGGCTAAAAAATAAAAATAAAACAATAACAATGAACATATATCTGTCAACACAGATCAACTGCAAAGGTCAGTGTGGCTTTTTCAAATATTTAATATGGAATATTGCATGATTGTGATATACTGCTTGATGGGTTGTATTACTAAAATGTATATATGTACATTCTGTCAAGCCCAACTATATCCAATCAACAAGTTATAATATCAACTAGAATAGCTCACTTACATGTATGAAATTTTGCTTTAAATATATAATATACCATCTGTAAAACGCATTTAATGAAACTATAGAAATTAATTTTATAAATAGGCTTATGAACATATGACCTTAATACATATCTGTCTGTTCCTATAAAATTAGAGTAATATAATGGGAATTATGTTTGAATGATGTACGATTTCCCTTTATAATTTACTGCAGACCACATAATTAAATAGATCTGCTGGAAAACTAAGAAAACTGCATACCTCAAATTCACATTTGATAATTTTAAAGAACAGACTGATTAGATTCTGGGCATCAAATGGTGACTTCAACGCACACAATTCATACAACAAACATCCAACAGCCTGAAAGAAAAACAACTAATTCAACAACAAAATTTTACCCATGGGATCAGAACAGACCAAGAACAGTCGGCACATCTGTGCCATCTAATCATGATATGCACAATCTTATTTAGTTGGTATATATTTTAAAATTTTCCTAGAATTGATGAATGGGTTTGTCAAGATTGAAACATGAGCAAGTCAAATTAAGATATTTAGCATGTACCAGGTTAATACTACACTCTACCTGATTTTTTTACAGAGAAATAATATTAGTGGAACTTTATCTATTTTTCTTAAATCTAATTTGTCTCCATGTTTGTATGGATATTTTTATGTTTAACACATTTCTCTGTTTCTTATACAAAGGTGACAACTTTTAGCAAGGTGATTTTACTTTTTATTACCTCTTTATATGATATATAAACCATAGGCCATAACTACTGAAAACATGAAGATCCAGGCCATAGTTTAACTGTAGATGCATAGAGTAAATGATATTCAACAGACTGTTAGCAGATAAACTAGATGTAAATACCAATTTAAATAAGAGCTGTTGGTAGGACAGCGTGCTAGACTATTCTAAGTGCTGGAAAGTAAAACAAGAGCGTGGATAATGTAGAAGTTCGAAAAAGGGCCATAATTCTGTCATAATCCATGTAAGAGTTATGGGCCCTGATTAGTGACTTCCTATCATGCTATCAAATAAGTGTGTGAAGTTTCAAGTCATTCCCTTCAGTAGTTTTGGAGGTATCAAAAATTAAACAAAGTAAGATATCAATCCCAACACCTTGGTGAGTACAATAGCTCTCCTTATTCTTCAAATAGTCAAGTTAAACAAGAGGGCCATGATGGCCCTGAAGTCGCTCACCTGTATATAGGCCCACCGGAGCGGGCAAGTTTAAACTCCAGGGCTTTTATTTGAACAAACTTGGTAGACACCTATTTGAAGATGTTTCATGCTAAACATCTAAGGTCTAGCTTGTTGGGTTTTTTAATGAAGATTTTTAAATTTTTTTTCTAAACATATTTAAAAACAATGACACTCCTGGGGCAGGGCCAGTTTTGACCCCAGGGCTTTTATTTGAACAATCTTTGTAGACACTTACTAGAAGATGTTTCATGCCAAATATCTAAGCTCTAGCTCTTTGGGTTTTTTAGAAGAAGATATTCAAAGTTTTTTCTTTTGGTTGCCATGGCAACCGGAGTTCTGCATGGAATTAAATTCTTTGAACAATTTTCAAAGGTGACCACCAAAGGAACATTCCTGTGAAGTTTGCATGAAATTAGCTCAGTGGTTTATGAGGAGATGTCATTTAAAGTAAAAGTTTACGGACGACGGATGACGGACGGACGACGGATGAAAAGCGATCACAAAAGCTCACCCTGTCACAAAGTGACAGGTGAGCTAAAAAGTAGTCAAATAAGAGCTTACTGAATGAAAAGTATCAAAGGAAATTTACTCTTCCAATAGCCCTCTAAGAATTTACATGTTTGTACAGACAGACAGGCAGACAGACAGACAGAGGGTAAACCTAAAGTCCCCTCCAGTTAAACCAGTTACGAAGACTAATAACATATAGGACAACATTTTATCAGAAGATCTATTGCCATATAATTATTTTGAATACCTATATAGTTTTTTAATTTTTTTGTTTTGTTTGTTTTTGTTTGGTTTGGTTTTACAGGGCACCGACTTAAGTAAGGTTATATGGTGCTGAAACAGGAAAGATGAATTTGGATAACCCTTTATGGTCAAAGCCACCTCACCTGCTGGAGCTAAGAAAGACTCAAATAATTCAAACCCATTTAGTCCCCTTTTATGATAACACAGAGATAACCGATGGCCTCAACCCTTACAGGCCACCCCTCAGCCGCAAGGGTGGTATAAATGTTTTCTCATTTCCTTTATTTCCATTTTTTTCAAATTTATAAACCATAATACATTGTACAATATTCATATCAAAGTTAGCATGATGAAAACTTGTCAGTATTTAAATAATATGCATTTCTTTCTAAATTTATTAAATTTTCAATATTAGAATCTAGATTGGACATGTCTGTTAAATATATTTTATGTAATTATAAGTTTTCTTATGAAAATACAGTTATTTATCTCTGAAAGAATGGTTGTACATGCAATATTCTTTAACCTTTTACCCCATGAGCATATTGTGAAAAATGGCCATTTTCATTGAAAAGCCTCCTGTGACAAGTTCAAACTGCTATGAAACTATGAAAAATGCTTCAATACTGATGAAACTTGGCACAAATGTTGACTAGACCATAGCCTCTGTAACAGCATGCTCAATCGTAAATTTCCTGTTACCATGGCAATGGGGGGACGTCTCAAAATTGCCAAAAATCACTATTTTGCATTTTTTTCCCAATCAAAACTGATTTCAAAGTGCTGTAACTTCTCAATGAATTGAGATAGAGTAAAAGGCTTTTCTGCGCCGGTTACTAGTTACCCTAAGATAGACCTGAGGCCATTTTTAGACTGTCACATGTCCAAAATTTTCTTGGTGACGAGGGTGAATACTGCCCCTTAACAAACCCCCCAAACAGAAGGGGGCACATCCCCCTTCTGGCAACCCCCTGATGTAACATTTGGATGGGGGCCAAAAAAGTGGTCACTTTTTTTAACAACATTTCTGAAATGAAAAAGTGTTTTGGGGCTAAATAGGGCATTTTTTTCACTGTTTGAGGCCTCAAAAAGGGGGGGGGGGGGCAAAAAGCCGTCAAAACCGACTATATGAGGTAAAAGATTAAATAATTTTAATTCATATGTTGTCTTATTATAATTTCTTTATTGCTTTAATAGAAAGCACTTTATATTAAAGTCCTTATAGTCCTTATAGTTTCATGTATGTTGGGGTTTTCTTCAACAGAGGAAACAATCAAATTTTCTTATAAAACAATAGGATGAAGAAATGAGTTATTTTCCTCTTCACATCATCAGAGGAGGTAAAAGTAGCAAAATTTCTTTCGATCTTGCGAAACAGAGTACATGTAATTCCTTTGATTTGTTTCAGCGACATAGTACCAAATCATCTTTTCAAAGTAAGTTTATGATTTATTTTTGTACACATAATATTTTAACAAAGTATTTCATTGAAAATTTAATTATGTTTAATGCCAGTTAATAATGTTTATATTCAAGTAGGCCTATCATTTTCTTAGCTTCTGCTTTACGTTACAATTTTTATTAATATGATGTAATTTTGACACAAAATTTAATCAAATTTATAACTATGTATTGACACAGGTGGCAGTATCAGTGTTTGGACACCCACCCCTATCTGCCCCTGTACCCCTTACTAAAACCCTGAAAAAAAAGTAATTCAACATTGTACGGCTTACTATAAGGTACCAAATACAAAACAAATGATAAAATTATAAAAAAAAATTCCACTATCAAAATATTAGGGTTGTAGTTAGGGGTCCAGGGGCAGATAGGGGTGGGTGTCCAAACACTGATACTGCCACCTGTAAACATGTATCTATTGATTATAAAATATTATAAATGTAGCTCTGGAAATCAAAAATGTTTCACTATTTTAAAGGACCTAAGTTCAATTTACTATAATTGATAAAATATTAATGTTTTATTTATTTTTTATATTCTCTTTGTTTTTTGTTTGTTTGTTGGGTTTTTTTTGTTTTTTTTTTTACAAACAAAAATGGAAGTAAGAAAAATTTTAATAAATTGATACTGGAAAAGTTGTAACACAAAATAGACTGATAGAAAATCCACCATGATAAAAAATATTCAGTTATAATTTGCCAGGATTAACTTAAACATTCAGTATTAAGAAATTAGTTAATCACACATCCCCTCATCTATTAATACACTGACATCAAAATGTTCATGAAATGAAAGTAGGAAAATATCAAAACAAAAAGATAAAAGGAAAAAAAACTATGAAATATTATTTATTAATTGATATCTACTTATAATTATGTAAACTTTCCAAATTGGCTATCCTGTACTCAGGCTATCCCATACTGTTCTGTTCTAGGACATCAAGGTCAGATAAGTAACATGAAGAAGAATGTGACAAAATAAACTTGGATGCTGACTGAAACAATTTTTCCTTTTTACTAATATTATTACAGAATGTTTCAAGAACCTGACTACAGAGAAAACCTATCATTGGCGTTATCAGAGGTTTTAAATGACATTGGTGTCAATGAAAGAATGGTAATAAGAAGGAGAAGACATTGCATGCTGAGAGAGACTATGTTTAATATCACACATAGGATAACTGATACAAACGTGACTGACTATTATCTAGGGAGTCAGAGTGAAGGTACAACTACCATAGGACTTAATTCAGACTTTGATACACTAGTCTGTAGTCATAATGTCAATATAATACAAGACTGGTCAGAGTGGGAACATGGCAAGGAAAACTATCTCATGATACAGGACGAGAGCACTACCCCTGGGTATTGTTTCTTACAACTGCTCCAATGTGATGCACCTCTTCCTGTCACTGTGATTCCTGATGAACACCATATAACTGAAAGAAGTGGAAGAGTATTGCTTAAAAACACAGTATTTAATGGTGTCATTCGGGGTGCTGTACGTCATGGACCATCAAATGCTTTACAAGGACAGCATGGATTCTGTGATTTAGACTATGTGCCAGCTTTTCAATGTAAATCCTGGCCTCAATCAGCATCTGGTTGGTTAGAGAGACAAGGTTTCAGCAGATGGCCAACACAAGACATAAGAAGATATGCAGCCAGTAATGGGTGTTTTGTTGTTGCAACTGGAAGTAAGGTCAGTGAATATCCTGAACTTGAATGGAGAATATCTACATCACTGGCAGAAAAAAATCTTATGTTCAATCTAAATATAACACAAATAAGGTGCTATGTATTATTGAAAATGATTCTTAAATCCTTCCTTAATCCTCAAGGGGAAATCAACATATCAAGCTTCATGTGTAAAACAGTTCTATTACACTGTATAGAAAACACAGAGTCAAGTATATGGAAAGAGAACAATTTAT